TATATATATGGTGAGTAAAAAAGCGCTACAACAGTATTATTCGGATACCATTCTGCTTTAAATATGGTTGTGCTATCAAATGAGAGGGCGAGAGGTGGACGGACACGCAGAGGCAGATGAGTGAAATGCGTAGACAACTAGATGTACACCAACAGAAAAAAAGATTAAAATGCAGCATACAGATACAGATACAGATACGGATACAGATACAGATACAAATACAGATACGGATATGGATACAGATACAGATACAGATACAAATACAGATACAGATACAGATACAGATACAGATACAGATACAGATACAGATACAGATACAGATACAGATACAGATACAGATACAGATACGGATACAGATACAGATACAGATACAGATACAGATACAGATACAGATACAGATACAGATACGGATATGGATACAGATACTGATATGGATACAGATACTGATACGCCAACGGAAAAGTGCGATGGTGCAGATCATCACGACAATCGGGTGATGTCACGCACCTGTAGACGTACTCCTACAGATACGCACTGGAAACGAGCGCAGCTGTGGCCATACTACAGCGACGGTATACTCCTACAGTGGACTACTATAGAAAACTTAACGATCCGTCCGCAACTGTGAGCACATACATACAAGTCCGCATAATCATACAACGTACATACCTCGATTTTTGTCTGGATATCGGGAAGGGGAAGATTGGCGGACGCTACGTCGAAGAACAAGGGCTTGCAGGCCACGTACTGCAGGCTGGGTGGTACACTGGCGATGCGCACACTCACCGGAGTGTCGTCGTAAGTGTCCAGTCTGTCCCAGGCAGGGATCTTGAGTGCGTGTAGGGTGTGTATTTGTGCTAGTTAGCGTATGTGTGTGTACGTTTGTATATTGGAGTGTAAAGGCATATACGTTTGGGTATACACACATAGAAACGCATATATGTAGAAGAAGATGTCTATATAACAATGGCTGATTACAACTCAGCCAACGCCGAGTGTTGGCAAGCAGTGCTCGAGCTCTTAGGACTTCACTAAGAGCCTACTTTTGAATAGTTCGTCATAAAACATTCACTCCCAGATGGTACATATAAGATACAGCAGGATGTGGTTACGTGATATTTTGATGGCGGCAGTGAATATGTGGCGTATACTATAAATGTTCGCGAGTGGGTCCACATCCATAGCGTGTGCTATCAAATGGGCAACAAGTGCATGAGACCAGCAGTTCTGGAGGTGGGAATACACGAACAAGATAGCCTCATAATTTCCGCATAGTTAAGAAGATTAAAACAAATTTGCGCTTGTGTATGCCTATAAGTAGATGAAATATACTCTCGCATACAATGACAAACACTGTTCACTTTTACGTAGATACAAGATAGGTATATATATATATATATATACATATATATATATATATACATATATGTATATTATATATTAATATATTATATATATATATATATGTGTGTGTGTGTGTGTGTGGTGTGTATATGTATATGTATTATATAATATAATATATAATATATATATATATATATAATACATATATATATATATATATATATATATAGCTCTCACAACTTCCCTTCTGGAGATGGTCATGGACGTACGAAATACACGTACACTTAACACCTAAATACCTTAGCTACGCCCGTCTCTTCCTTGCTAGAGGCATCAGAGGCCAATAGCATGGCGGCTTTAAGCATACACTTGCGCTCCCGGATATTTGACACCAACTTGAGAATTTTCTCCGACATCTCCTGTTTCGATCTCTCTGCCATTTCACTGGACGACGCCAGCGCCATATTTATAGTCGCGATCATATTGGTTAAGAGGTCGTACACCTTATCCGCCTCTGCGAACTTGCCAACGTGTGCGTAGGCATTCGCAATACAGTAGACTCGGAAGGCCTGGTAGGTTTCGGCCCAAATCTCCAGCTCAGTGACATAGAGGGGATCGGTGTCGCGCACCAGATTGATTATTCTGGCGGGAGTGAGAAAGTGTTTTGGCTCAGAATGTCAGTCATTTACGGTGGACACACTGGGGGGGGGGGGGATAGAGGGGGGTAACCTAGTAACAGGCTGACTATCAGATGGTGAGTGTGGTACAATGGTCTGGCTGGCCATGCATGGAGTGCCAAGGGTCAGGTATGCGGGGTCGGTAGCGCATAGGAGGTCGACACTTGAGATGTAACTGAAAAGACAATGTGGTGGAACATGGGGCATGCGCTGATCATTTACGCACACGCATGAGAAGGGTGCATGCTGTGTCTATCCAGTAGAGCATTGATTAGTCCAGTGATTGTATTGGGCCACATGTTCTCTTGAGTACATATTCAATAGTCAGGACCACACAGAGGAGGTATCAGGTCACCGTTGGAGTCTAGGCGAAAAGATGGTTCGGGTGATCATGGAATACTTTGTTTAAGGTTGGTATTAAATACTAGATGGGTCATTCTGGTGTCAAGTGAGATGATGAGAGATGAATGGTCATCTGTTTTGAAATGGAAGATTGAATAGTCCTGGTTAAACGTATGCTGGCGCTTCGGGAGAAGGGGCAGTAATAATGCGTGCGAGTATATGACACGGTAGTAGTAAGCCGCTCGTCTGCATGAAGGTATGAGTTTGTGTATTCTTTGGTGTGGGTGGGGGGTAGGAACATAGCCGACAAGGTTGATGAGGAGATGGAGTGGACACCGCCCAAGGCGTGTGCTGGGCATCAGTCCGCTCGAAACTCTACCAACAACCCTAGACGCATTCTTAAGCATAACAACCCTAGACATATCCCCAAGCGTAGTAACCCTAGACATATCCCTAAGCGTTCTAAGAAACGCGACATGCACGTATGCACTTCAGTCTCTGGAGTGGGAGGGGTGAGCCACCGAGAGAAGAAAGTGAGAGAGAGAGAGAGACAAGTACTGTGTATGGCAAGTCCGCACACGAGGTCCCCCTGAGCACAGACATACCCCGTCAGATTCTGCAGGATAGAGTCGTACAAGCGGACGTTCTCCTCGGGCTTGTTTGTGGTGCAGAACATGCTGCTGCCACCCGCCTTGTCCTTGGCCGGTTTCTCCTTGCCCGAACTTCGGGGAGCATCCACCATAAGCTGGTTGCGCTCGTTTTGCAGCAGATATCTCTGGCAGTTCAGGTACAACTCCACCACTTTGGGTATCTCGTTCGCATCCTCCCCACCTCCACCCACCAGTACAGTGGACCCGTCCGTTTTCGGCGCAGTGGATTCTTTCTGAGAGAGAGTGCGCGAGAGTCAACCCGGTACATGTGAGAACATCGCTATATGTGTGTACAACAAACTAGTCAAACAGCCCAATGTGTTGGTGATGCTAGGATTACCTAGAGCTCTGAAGTAGGTTTTAGGGTTTAGGGTTTAGGAAAACGAACGGATCTCTGAGCTTTGAAGCTGAAACTGACGAAGTATGTATAAATACGTCTGTGAATGTCTTCACGAATGTTTGCCTATTGGTATATGTAAGGACGTATTCGTAGACCAAAGCACCTAAAAGCAGCAAAAGTGGATCGGAATACCACGAACGCCCCGGATATGGCTGTGGATATTCGTTCCCGTGTCATAGAGAAATGGAATGGCACTAGGTAACGCACTAAATGTGAGTGTTTCCATACATTCATACACAAATATATATGTTCTTACATTCATACACATATAGAAATACATGTGGTCTTACATTCATACAAATATATAGAAATACATCTGGTCTTACATTCATCCACTTATATAAGAATACATATGGACTTACATTCATACACATATATCATATATAGAAATACATACATTCATACACATATATTGAAATACGTATGGTCTTACATTCATATATATAGAAATACATATGGTCTTACATTCATACACATATATAGAAATACATATGATCTTACATTCATACACATATATAGAGATACATATGGTCTTACATTCATACACATATATAGAAATACATATGGTCTTACATTCATATATATAGAAATACATATGGTCTTGCATTCATACACATATATAGGAATACATTTGGTCTCGTACAGATATACATGGAGATACATATACACAACATAACTATATCGACTGACTCGCATAAAAAGTCCACCGTCTCCTGAAGCAGGTTGATTACGCCTAGATATTTATACACATATATGCATATACAACCTAAAATGGAAGCAAATATATTCATGTCCATAACACACAGGCACATAATACGCATCCACGGTAACGAGTACACAGACAACCGCTCCAACCCACACACCATCTTCTCGCTGCGGTATGCCTGTAAAGCGTCCTGTATGCTCATAAACACGCCGTCGTACAGCTTGAGCACGTCTCTCGTGGCCATTCCCTTCTTCTGCTGGGCCTGTTTTAGGCCTTTCACCTTCTCATTGATACGCATGATGCACATGCGCAGCTTGTCGTTGGGTATTTGTATCTCGCGATCGCGCCACGTGATCTAGAAGTGTGGGTTTTAGGGTTTTAGGGATTTTAGGGTTTGGGGTTTAGGTTTTAAGTTTTTAGCCACAGCTATTTTAAATTTAGATAGGACACCAATGGTACAGATCATCGGGGGGAAATGGCACACATACATGCACGTGTGTATGCTCAATCTCATACACCCTGATATGCAGACATGCAAACCCCATAAACATACATGTACACGCACATACAATCCCATATATATACGTGCTGGTTCCTCACGATATGAGATCGGGATGTACTTAAGAGTAGTTGAATACAAACCCCTGCGCACACAGCAATGCGCACAAACGCACATATGTGCGTGCACAGCCGCGCATATGTGAACGTATGTGTGTTCTATTTCACTTCCACGTCCGGATTATGTATATCTATGCGATCACCAGGGCACTTTATACCCGTTGCCAATGTACCTTGAAGGTCTCTTCACTGGTGTCTGTGATAATGTTCTCCATTTTGGCGAGCACCGATTGGTCCACATTCTTCATGGAAAGCAGATCCTCCTATACAGAATAGGAAGGGTTTCATGAAAGTGAATAATAGTCGGATCCTCCTATATAAAATAGAAAGGGTTTCGTGATAGTGAACAATATACAAAATAAACAGGGTTTCATGATAGTGGATAATATACAAAATAGAAAGGGTTTCATGATAGTGAATAATAGTCGGATCCTTCTATAAAACCATAAATAGAATACAATTCTAGATAATGTTCAATTGATAATGAGTATAGTTAAGATACAAGGCGGGTTCAACATCAATGGTGTACACTTTAAGATCATTTGTGTTTTGCGGTGCAACAGAGCAACAGTCCCATGGGGTGGTAACCTGAAGTGAAGCTCAGCACACAGAAACCTCAGTATCTTCCACTACACCCAATCCCCATGCCAACAGTAAAATAAAAATTATAAAATTATGAAATTAAAAGCCCTTGTAGGTGAAGTTTTCACTTCCAATAAGTGTACGTGCACACAAAGCACAAGAAGACCCACATTTAGGCCCATACCAGCACAGTATTGTCCCCCAGAGAGTACGCGCAATATCGGATACTGGGCTCCAGTGCCTCGATACGTTGCACATACATAGCCTTCAGGTCCTCGGATCGGCATGTGTCCGCAAATTGCTTCCAGATTTTCCTGCATCCGTAAAATACACACGCATTGGTCCAGGGATGATACAAGGAATATTTTCCAAGGGTATAGGTTGGGACTCGTGTGTAAATATAGTTTGTACAGTTGTTTGAGTACGTATTGAGTGCGTTCGGTACTCGTAACCAGAGTCGCGTATTGAAGTCAAACGTGTTGTTTGGGTGGAGTGCGGTTGGAATGAACGTTTTACTGGTGAAGAGGGGTACACACAAACACGCATAACTTGTTTCTTGTGAGGGCGAGAGTGAGACGGCACACACTACCATAGTGTTTTGTTGAACTATGTGTATGACGTATGACAGAACGAGGCTTGCGTGAGGGTGCGCCAATTACTATTTATTGCAATGTACATGTACATCGACAACGATTCACAAAGATTATGACACGAACCTGTTTCCACTTTGCAAAGTGTGCAAGTGCGTACGCGTGTGTGCGTATGTGTACCTTTGCGACAACCATTGTTGCACGTGCGTGTGTATGAGTGACTGGCCATTTGCAGATACATGACTCTCTCAGAGAGAAGATTAAACATCGCCACACATCCAAAACCGACAGTCCTGGATCGACACTGCCTTCGACGAAGTACAGCTGCTGTTTTCTCATCATAGAGGCATGTATGGCACTATTCATGCAGCGTCGTGTGTTAGAGGGAGTGACCTCGCACGCAGTGGTCTATGGGTAGTGGTATGACAGGATAAGTCAAGAACGACTTTCTGTTGACCATTGACATATTGTTCGAGAACATTTCATTGCATAAGGTTGCTAAACCTGGTGAGTCTATGCATCTCATAGCAATGCACAAATATAGTGTGTTGTGGAAGTATATCATCACATTCATTGTGCTTGATTGCTTCTGAGAGAGGTGAGATACACACTGTGTGCATATGCGCATCTCTACGCTAAAAAAGAAAGCCCTGAATAGGCCACATTTAGTAAACAAAAATCACTCACTTTGCTAGATCCAGTAGTCGCACAGCCTCAGCCCACTGCTGCAGCTCAAAAGCCAGGATACCACTCATCCAAGAAGAATACGCCTGTAGAACGAAGATGCATACATACATTAATGAGAATACCCCCATCTGCCTGAGGTCAGATCTGGTCCTATATTTGGATATAGTGGCGCAACCAGATCGCGTAAATCTTCCTTCTAACTACATCATTAGAAAACACACGGGCTGGGTAGGCTGTACCCTTACTCAAACCTATAAGACTTCTGTACAGAGACCAGCCCCGTATTATTCACGCAAACCAATCCTAAAATAAAATAAAGTTACCCAAACCAAACCCATATATACTAATATCCCAATTCGACCACAAGGAAACACACCTTGGCTTCCAGCCCAGTGCGCTCATCGCAGAACCCAGACAACGAACACAGATCGTCGAGATGTGCTGCGTGCTTAGCAGCCACTTTAAGTTTGTTGCGCACGTGGTGCAGAGATCGGGTGCCTTGATCTTTCAGACCCAATTTCTGATCGGCTTTGAGTTCCATGGCGTACGCCCAGCATCTTTCGGCCTCATAAAGTGGAATCTTAATCCCGATTGGAGAGAAAGATATCGGAAAGAGTATTTAGATTAGGCCAGTTGCGTAGCTCTATTCAGGACCTGTCTACTTATACTCCTGCCTTCCTCTCGTTGGCAAATGCAGTAGGTGTGAGTACAAAACGCTGAAACTTCACACCAAAATTTACCAGATATGTACTTTTCACTTCGAAATAAAACTTCGAAGAAACAAAATCAAGTGCATGTGTCTGAACAACGCAATGGCCGATAGACACGGCTTTGACATGATACAAAAAAAACCCCCGTTTCTATAACTTATTTAGGCTCTTTGAATGAGAAT